ATACCGAAGAATGTAGTGTCCATACAAATTCAGAAAGATGCAACATTCAACTCGGATCGGAAAAAAATCAATTTAATTCCAAACAAATCATTCAGATATTACAAACAATAGTAATCGATTATTTTTCGACGCATTCGTAAATAGTTGATATTTCATAATATTTTGTATTTTTCATTATCTGAGAGTTACTTTTGAAAACATTTATTTCTGTTTCGAGGATTTTTGATAATGAAGACGACATTTTCATATTTTCCAGGAATGTTCGAAAATCCTACGCCAGCGAAAATTATTTAAAGAAAAACAAAATCAAAAATATTATGAAATATAAACTATATACGAATGCGTCGAAAAATAATCGATGACTATTGTTTGTAATATCTGAATGATTTGTTTGGAATTAAATTGATTTGTTTAAAATCCGAGTTGAATGTTGCATCTTTCCGAAATTGTATGGACGCTGCGTTCTTCGGTGTGAGTCGTTTTTTACAATTATTTCTATATAGACGCAACAGATAGAAGTAAGATTAGTAGCGATCAAAAGCGCTTTTTATCGCATTAAGCCTATACCCCCTTTCATTTTTCGCGAACACTCCCTTTAACTGACATAAAACAAATAAAAATAACCTAGTTGAAAATCTACAATTAAAAGCAAAAGCAAAAAGAAGAAGACGACAATTATTCAACATTTTACTACAGGGTAAAAAGTTTTGAATGTCGTCTTCCATACACTGTATTAGATAGTAAAGGCTTTATGCAGTTTATAAATTATTTCGTTTAACAAATCTTTTGATCAAATTTATTTTACTTTGAAATTAATTTTACGATAACATAACTTTTATATAATATTAATATTATTTTCTTTGGTATTAAACAATTAAACAAATTATGGAGAAGACATTCTAAACCTTTTACCCACTGTCATATTTCGTGGGATCAAATTATATCATAAACAAGGCATAGTTTCTTTAATAGAACCCAAACTAAAAACTTCTAAATCTTGTGTTTTTATCTCAAAAGAAACTTTCTTTAAAGATCAGTGGCTAATTGTGAAATCAGAAAACATCTAAAGTAGTAATGATATATTGCCACAAACTTTCATAATCCCTACATTTTTGCAATCTGATGGTGTAAACCTTTGATGTTTACACTTTAATTATGAGATGTGGCAGAATTTATGGATTTATGCAAATTTAAAAGTTGCAAAGATATCAAGATTAGAAAATCAGAACTTGTGGCTGATAATCAGTTTCTTTGTTCAGAAATCAGAAATCAGATTTCATATAACATATTAAACCTTAAGTCACCTAACCTATACAAACTAGCTTGGATTCAACTAAGGCTAAGTTTTTGTAAAATTTTGAAAATTCACTATAATTTAAATCAGGAAAATATGTATTGCTCTAATTTATAAGGATTGAATAAAGCCAGCAGACAAAGTAACATAAAAACCTAAAATTATTATTATTATAAAGATTTATTCACACACAAAGATATAAATACATATATAAATGGTGTAGTTTAAATTTGTTTAAATAAATTTTTGAAAATACAGGTTTCCAAAAGAAAAGAGAAAAATATGCAAAATTATGCACAAATAGACAACATTATTCATTACTCATTACATAACATATTTATCATTTCAGTTATTACGTAATCATCGAATCCTTCAACAAATGAATTATCTTACTAAGATCCGAAGGATTTACAGAACAATCATTTGCAATAGAAAATAAATTTCTGCCAAGAACTGTGTTAAGGTCATTTTTACATAAATTAGAAAGAAATCTAATGCAAAGCTTAGAACTTGCTTCATTAGTGCCATACAAACTATACTCACTATGCATACATAGTACATAGTACATACCATATATTAATATCTTTAGACGGAGGTTTTTTTTATTAATTAAAACAAAATTTGACATGTTTTTGTGCCTGAGCAAGATTAAACGACAATAATTCCTGCCATGTTTTCTGCTTACCTTTGTTAAAATTAGAACAGACATGATCTAGAAATTGGCGAATCCAGCACGTACAGCGTAAGTTCCGGGCGGAACGCAGAGTTCCTTCCAAGTCCGCAATCTCTCTCCCTTAGACTAAGCCTAGTTGTGAGCAAGCCTGCCGTCAAGATTGATGATCTGCACCACCATCATGAAGTTCTACAAACACCTTCCAACTGATATTCGTCCATAGTTTCTTTATTAATTTCTAAACCAACCAATTTTAACCCCACTTGGGTAACTATTTCATAATCCTTTTGTTTTAATAAACAAAGATTAGAAATACCTTTAGATCTCTTTTATTTTATCGTATTGACTTTTTTAAAGTCAACAGAGTTATACTTTTGAAAACATTTATTCCTGTTTCGAAGATTTTTGATGATGAAGACGACATTTTCATATTTTCCAGGAATGTTCGAAAATCCAACGCTAGCGAAAATTATTTTAAAAAAAGCAAAATCAAAAATATTATGAAATATTAACTAAATACGAATGTGTCGTAAAATAATCAATGACTACTGTTCAGGATTATCCCTCAGAACTGTGACTTTCGATCACAATTTGGCCGATTAAACGTACTTTTTTCGTTATTTCGTTTTTACTTTTTTGTCGGCATATGCCGCGCGTGTTAAACGAAAAAGTATAAAATGACAACTCAGCAGTCAGCCTCCTTGGGACCTTAAACCCCCTTGCAATGATAGATTTACTGATCCAGAGGGGGCTAGGCCCCCATTCCCCCCCCCCCCCCTCCTTTGTGTACGCATCTGACTATTCTCGTCTTGTAAAAATTTCTCTAAGGAAGTACTAACCCCCCTGCGGGAATATGGTATCTTTAAATCTTGAAGAATGAATATGATATCAATCTTCTATTCATAATCTACATAAGAAGTGAAATCTTTAAGTTAATTAAAACTTCCACCAAGTAAATAGAAGTTTAAAGGGACAGAGCTCAAAACTTTAGAATGATGTATATCAAGATTAATGATCTAGGAGTTTCCTGGATTTCCTAAACCCGAGATTATGTTAATACGCATTCGATATTCGAAGTAAAAAATTTAATCAATCAGTGTGCAGTTAAGATGTACTCTTTAACTTAAAAAAAGAAAAATGATTTTGATCATTGGTGTTGATGAGGTCATATCAATTGAACAAAACATCGATTGAACAAACGTAAGTTTTAGATTAATGTTTATGAAGACTATAAACGTTCAAAATGACAATAGTCCTGTTTTTTGATAATTTCAAATTAACAAAATTAAATTCAAATTTGTTTAAATACTCTAAAAGCCGGCTTTCTTAATCGATATAGCATTGTATCTTTAATTGATATCAACAGTAACTTTTGTACAGTACAAATATCCCAAAAGAGGATTATAAGAAGAAAACAAAAGTGTGTCCATTGGATAATCAGATTGTGATTAAGGATATTTCATTAAAAGTTTTCAGCGCCGTGTCTGAATTTAATGAATTTAAGCCACGTCTCAAATCCCCCCAAAACCGGTTTTAATTGACCGCCGGCTTAAATCTTGAAAAATTTAATACAAATTTAAGTAGAACCAACCATATTTGAGCTGCGGCTTAAATTTAAGCCGTGGATCAAATTCTTTAAATTTGGCCTCTGCAGACATAATTTAAAGTAATTAAAGGGACTGTTAACGTAATAATTGTATCTAAATAAATACCAATATTCTCCCTTATCCTTAAACTGTTGAAGGTATAAAGGGTACCGTTGTGAATCATTGGACTTCTTTGAATGGAAGGTCTCTTGAAATTACGCTTACAGTCCCTTTAAGCCATGCCATGCCACACCATAAATATTTATGGAGCGGCATGTCATTATCGACCAGTAACAATGAGGAAGAAATTATCGTTTTTTTTACTTGTATTATAATTGATAACTCTTACATCTATGATTATATAGATTAAAAAGGTACTGTTGCGTATGGAACATGAATCTCGACAAAAGAAAGGTCAAAAGCTGAGTGTCTTTAAATCCTTTTTTATTTATTCCATTACAATAAACTTGGGAAATAGTGTGTTGACCATATGTGGAATTGAGCCCTTGCCACAAACTTTGATTTTCCAATCCCTTCTTATTTACAACCAATTTTGTGTATAGACCTTTCATATTTCGAACTATGAATTCGGTCAGATGAAATATTAAAGGTTTACACAATCAGGTTGCAAAGATATAGGGCTTAAACATGATTGAGACTTCGGCAAAGACTCAATTCCTTTCTTTGCGTTTTTACTATGGCTGAGGTCCTATTAACTTGTGAAGCTTCTCCTACAAAAAAACATGATACTAAAAGAAGAAAATTTAAATATTTTGAAAGTCCATACTAATAACGAAAAAGCACGAAAACCCTGTGTAAACACAGTTTGAGTATACAAATTACAAATTGTGATGTTTTAGAACGATTCCCATATCTGAATCAATGTATTATATTTGTGTATGGAGGGTGTCGGAAGAAGAAATCTAGAAATTGGCGAATCCAGCACGTACAGCGTAAGATTATGATACTCTTGACATAAATCTAATTCTGTTGTAGACACTGAACAGGATTATATATATCAGTGATGAACTTTACTATATGTAATGATTTCTCTAGGCGGCCAGCTTAAAACGTTCAAAAGACCTACAGATATCCCGTTGTTCTTATATATAGTTGACCTTTGTCATCAAAGATCTCAATCTCATTAAAACCGCTGATAGAAGATTTTACAGAAATCGTTCCAGCAGTTATCGAATATCTATTATGAAAATAACAGGAAATATTAGAAGACAACAACATTAAAAACGTAAAATAAAACATAAAAATTAAAAAATCAACTCGGTTTTTATATATTTTTTAAAATTATACAAATGGAATCTTTCGTTGATTTTCATAAACTTGTTCTTTAACGGAAGCTTGCCATACCCTAACTAAATCTAGATCTACTCTNTTGTCTAGAACCTCTTCCTTCATATATGCATCAATTTCTGTCCAATTTAGAAATCTATTTTGAGGTAGAATCCATTTTATATATTTTCCGGTTCATCAAACTCTCAATACATTTCTTTTCACAGATTTATCTTCAAATACGTTTTTTTTTCATCGAATTTAGTTAAAAGCATATTTGCTCAGAATTATATACAAGGTGACTACAATGCACCATAATGTATACGATGATATCATGGGTTCCCGTTTTTTAGTCTTAATGATGTAAAAGGTAATTTATCATTCAAAACAATAAGTTCATAACACATACGCCATTGAAATAATTTACCAAGTTTATATATTTACATAGATAGAACATTCCACAACAAACAAACATTTTTGATAAATATCAAATTAATTCTTGCGACGGGAAGCAGTGTATTTAATTTTGTTCCTATGATGAGATATTCCCAAGATATGTTTGCTGAGTTGGTTTAACAAATCAGAACCCTAAAAAACATGACAATTTTATAAAGTTTAAATCTTCAGTATTGTTTATAGCAATTTTTTGTACCTGTGCCTGCCAATTACACGCTCTACAACTAATGCAAGCTCTTTCGTGATGCTCATCATGCTGCTTTAAATGCTCTTTAAACTCATTTTGAACAAAGAAAGATTTCTGGCAGGTTCCCAAGCAGACGAATAAACTGATACCATCTGTGCCAGAGCTGCTTGCCTGTGAATCAACCGAGAGTTCAGTTCTAACAGCTGAACTTGTGTTTCGCGGTCTTTTTGGAGCAGACGGTCCGGCTAAGAGGGCAGGCGTTCGAAATAAATGCGGGGCAGTGCGCACATTCGCAGATCGTAGAACATTATCAGACTCTATTGTTATAATTTCATCCACAGGTAAGCTCCTATCTCCAACACTTTCCTAAAGTCAAAGAAATTAGTACTAAGAAATATTAAATAAAGGTTGAAACCTTTAAGTGAGCAGTATGCCTGAAGTTAATATCCAAAGCGAAAACTTTGATTGATTGATTAACGTGTATGCTCTATAAACTTACCATAAGACAGTTTCTTAGCTATATAAGGGAGGACCGGATGGGAATAATGCTCTTTTACTTGTACTCAGCTCTATGTAGCCTTCAATGAGTCCTAATTTTTTTGCAACTTTCGGCATGGTAAGGACAAGTTAAAGAGCATATACTGCTAACTATTCTGCATGCATAGACATTGAACACCGTCCTCCTACACCACCCAGCAGCATGGGCCCACTCTGTAGAATCATTGGAACACCGTCCTCCTACACCACCCAGCAGCATGGGCCCACTCTGTAGAATCATTGGAACACCGTCCTCCTACACCACCCAGCAGCATGGGCCCACTCTGTAGAATCATTTGAACAACCTTTTGACTGGCGGGAATTTTTGCCAAAACACCGTATACAACAAAAAATTCTATTTTTTTTACCTGAATATTGATTTCTACAACTGAAGGATCTGTTTCTAGATTTGGAGTCGGGTATGGGGCAGGGTTGATTACACGTGGTAAATTCTGAGATGTAACTTTTGTATGTCTTCTTTCAACTGAAATAAAAGGCTTAGAGGGATTGAGGACATTTAAGTGGACTTGCATATATAGAGTGGCATTTTTATTTAAAACTATGTCTGATCAAAAACTAATGATATTTCTTTGTTTTTCTAGCTTTATCATTATTATTAACAATACAATGAAAATAGGGTTGAGCTCGTCCACTTCCCCTGGTCTATATGGGATCTAGTAGTTCAGTCCTGGCCTGAATTTTAAGGATTCAGTGTGTGTGCCAGGAAAGCATGGATACTAGGGGAGAAATAAAAGGGATGCTTAAAAACACACCTCCGCTGGGTTGAATAAGAGTTTTGTTTTTTCCTTTTTGTGTTTTAGCTTTAAATGTTTTGACCAGGGAAAGTTGAGCAATGCTTAAGTAAATCGCTTAAATAGTTTATTTGCAATTATTTAACAGTAGAGAAAGAGCTAATCATTAGTATTTGACACTATTTTAGACAGAAAAAAGACTAAATAAATGAAGGAAAGGAAGTAAATTATGTAGCTTTAAATAATTGAGATTTGCGATTACCTTGGACTCTTGTTATAGTTGCTGTCTCTTGACTGAGATCAGATAAACCTCTTTTCCTGGCAGAATTTCGATCTCTATTAATATCCTGCACTGTGCGCATTCTTTTTTGCCCGGTGTGCGTACTTCCAAGTTCCTTTGTGAACGGTGTGTACTCAGTTAAACTCGTCACTTCTGGATTGGTAGAAGCAGAGATTGATAAAAGTCTGGATGATGAACTATGTGTTTGAGATGAAGGTGGCCGACTAATTCCTAGGTTTGATGAAGTGGCTCCATCTATCGATAGTTCAAGCACACTCTCCCCTGGACTCCCAGGACGAGATAAATCTACAGTGTCACAAATCCTGAAACCATTATTAATCAACTTTCAAATCAACCTAGATTAAAATCAATCAATATCCTTTTGTAAATACAGCAAATAAATGCAAAATAAAAAAATCTTTGAAATCACAAGTTTACTAAATAAAGTATGGCACAAAAAGATTTAAAATGGAAGTACTTGATAACACATCGTCATCTAAAATATATTATACAACAAGACACAAAAAAATATCCACAAAATTACAATATATTGGCAATATATACAATATAAAACATCGTCATCTAAAATATGTTATACAACAAGACACAAAAAATATATCCACAAAATTACAATATATTGGCACTTCAGAGAAGTAAATTATTTTCATATCAATATTCTACAGTTTAGACCCATAAAACTGTGGAATGAGAAGACGACTGTTAGACTCAAGTTTAGTTAATTTTAAGCTTATGGTCAAACTGTTTTTGAATGGGACTGAAAAGATTTCATTGCCTGATTTACAACGGTACCCTTGAAACTTCAATCTGATCTAAAATGTGAAAGATAACGTCGTTTTTTTGACTCAAAAAGTTTTTAGTTCTGATAATTACTCCATGATCTCTTATTAGCAAGGAAGCCACTTTTGAAAAGAAACCACAAAACAAAGCTTTTAGGGTGTACGTTGTAAATCAGACATTGCTATTTTTGCATGGAGGGTCTCTAGGAATATGCTTACTGACCCTATAACATTATCAAATACATATAAGATTTTTTAAATGACACGTACCTATTCTGAAGTGTTATGGGTCTAACTGAAATAATTTCTGACCTTAATCTACGCTGGGGTGGTGGCGAATCTAATATTTGGATTTCAGATGGTGAACCCTCTTCATAAATTCCATACGGTGACACTTCGTTAACATTTCTTGGCGGTGAATCTTCGTCTATAACCGAAGGAGAACTTGCATGGTCAACATTTATACTTGGCGGACCTACACAGAAGATGTATTAGTCTTAAAAACACACATATAAAATTTTCATCTAAAAAAGCTATTTTTTTTTTGCAACTTTGATTGTTACCCCCCCCCCCCCCCCCAAAAAAAAAGGGCTTTTGTCATAGGTTTAGAAGTAAGGAAGTTTTGAACCTAAAATATTCATATTTTTTTTGGTTTTATGCTTTTAACGAAAGCATTGTTGGTTTTCATTTTACTTTTATAGCTTTATATTCTAGATTTATTAGGAAATAGGTCCACTGAATGATTTCTCGGTGAAACCTCAGTAAAAAACTTCTTATACAGTGAAACCCTTAATAACGAATACATCGAAAGAATTCATCAAATGTCGTATTCTTCACTTTCTGATAATGGAGTGTTGCAGATATTTAGTTTTTTAATTAATGATTATATGGAACTCTTTAAAACTGTTCCCGCATATTCATGGCTATTTATTTATTTTCGCAAATACTGAAATTTACGTAATATAGTATAAAACTCATATAAAAAAGTCAAGACGACATTTGATAAATTCTTCCGATGTATTCGTTATCAAGGTAACACATGCTGAAATGACCTGAGTTTGCTCGGGAACTAATCACAAGTTTGTGCTGCTGACTAGCAATGTGTGACTGGAAGTCTGCTCTAAATGTCGTCTTCTCACAAGGCAGACATCTTGAAAATGAAAGAATGACAGAAAATTATGTTTTGGTCTTTCTAAATTAGCTTTCTTACATTTAGGTATAAAAGAACAAATTTTGTTATATTTTGATAAATTTTTACCTAAAGTTAAATTTTTGGCAGATTTTATGAGAGTTTATTCTATTCACGGAGGGAAATACTAGACAGCATGACTCACATTTATATCTAAATATCACAATACAACTAAACTGTTTTCATGTTCATTGTACAAATTAGATCTAAAAAGAATAAATTATTTAGTACTGAAACTGTACTTGACTTTTGAGAAGCGTTTTAATTCACATATTCTATATAGGCATGTTTTGAAAAATTGTTTTCTATTTTCACTTTGTAAAATGCTAACTATGAAGAAATAACCCCTGAAAGGTTTTTCAAACCATAGCTACCGAATGTTTGGTCGTTTCAAGTTCAGACTTGCATCTTCCTGCCAAAATTAAAATTTTGCATGATTTAAAAAAAGCAAACTAGTAGAAACAGTATTTGGAGTTGTGTACAACTTTGTGAAATTTTGTTAGGCCCACTAGAAAGCCAAAAAAAAACCCATGGTGAAATGGAATGCCAAAGACCGAGTTTACCTGTATTCTGAATTAAAATGGTTGTAAGGCCGAGGGGTTTTATTAAACTCTGATACACAGTTGGTGTGCTTAGTGGTGTTAACATGCAGGGTCAAAGTTTCAACAGGATTCACAGCCTTCACAAAAAATATATCTCCATAATAATTTCTTTTTATTTATCTTCATAAAATAGGGAGAAATTTGTTTGGAATTAAAAAAATGGTTACTGCAATTCTGAATTATCTATATGTTACCTCCAACCACTGTACATCACACGGTCCACACATCAACTCACATTTACCCTTACCATCCTAATCAATCAATCAATCAATCAATCAATCAATCAATCAATCAATCGACCGTCATTCACTTTAGATTTGAAAAGGCTTTTCAAAACCACTTTCAGTGCCAGTGCCAAGTGCTGCTATTTTTTTTTGTAGACAGATCGATACTTTCCCTAGAGAAGGAGTCCTGGGACCGAATTTAATGAATTTGAGCCAGATCTATATACGGTTCAATGGATGATTGAGGATTAGTCCATACTATAGATGATAACTACACTGCAGATACATATGGTTGATAGTTCAGCTACCTAGCTTAAATTTATCAAATTAGCTTCCTAAACTTATTCAATTCTATAGATGATAACTACAATGCAGATACATATGGTAGGTAGTTCAGCTACCTAGCTTAAATTAATCAAATTAGGTTCCTAAACTTATTCAATTCTATAAAAGGACGACTCTAAAATTATTCAATGTTACGTAGGGTTTAATTAATGGTGTTCACTTTAAATTAAGTTAATATTCCCTTTAATATTTACCTTTAAATGTTTAAGTATGGTTTGGAAGTCTGTAGCAATATTACAGGTTCTACAGGAGTAGAATATATCATCTGTCCTCAAACCAACCAAGTCAATCTTTTAATCAAAAGAAATCAGATAGAAATTTTTCATCTACTATTCAGAACACATATACTTTACATAGGTAACCCTTGGTTAGGTAAAATTTTTAATTTCCAATTGATCATCTTTTGAGATTAAAATATTATTTTACTTTATTGTCCCAAGGAACAGTTATGGAACTCAACATCCTAAGGATTCATAAGGAAGTGAAATCTGCAAGAGGCCCCAATGTGGACCCCCCTGACCGCCCAGGCAGCAGGATGCACTGTCCCGCCCCTGATTTAACTAGACCTACTGTTGGGGATCATACGTCGGTTATGTTGGTCAAGGGGCGGTAAAAACAATAACATTTAAATCAATCAATTTATATACAATTGTATCCGTAATCAACTAAACTATTAAAAACCCCAAAACATTTCAAATAGCCAAGAAGCAGTTAAAAAATAAAACAATTTAATAGAGAAATCATTTATAAATTATACAAGTTTTGTCTACCTTGTGTCTGTGCTGAATTCCCATACAGTGGTTTGAGAACTTGGACGCAGCTTTAGAGAAATCACACAGATGACACTAAACATAGCAGGGTACAGGTACAGATAATAAAGTACATGTACAGACACTTTAGTTGGGTACAGGTACAGATACTTGAGTAGGGTACATGTACAGATAGTAGGGTACAGGTACAGATAATAAAGTACAGGCACAGATAATTAAGTAGGGTACAGGTACAGATAGTAGGGTACACTTACAGGTACAGATAACAGAGAAGAGGTACAGACAATTCAGTGGGGTTCAGGTACAGATAATTCAGTAGGGTACAGGTACAGATAATTAAGTAGGGCACAGGTACAGATAATTCAACAGAGTACAGGAAAAACTAATTCGGTAGGGTACAGGTACAGACAATTTAGTAGGGTACTGGTACAGACAATTCAGTAGGGTACAGGTACAGATAGTTAAGTGGGCACAGGTACAGATAGTTAAGTGGGCACAGGTACAGATAATTCAACAGAGTACTGGAAAAACTAATTCGGTAGGGTACAGGTACAGACAATTTAGTAGGGTACTGGTACAGACAATTCAGTAGGGTACAGGTACAGATAATTAAGTAGGGTACAGGTACAGATAGTTAAGTGGGCACAGGTACAGATAACTCAACAGAGTACAGGAAAAACTAATTCGGTAGGGTACTGGTAAAGATAATTAAAAAGAGTACAGGTACAGCGAATTCAGTAGAGTACCGGTACAGATAATTCAGTAAAGTACAGGTACAGATAATGCTATTTAGTAGGTTACAGGTACAGATAGTAGAGTTCAGTTACAGATAATTCAGTAGGGTACAGGTACAGATAGGAGGGTAGAGGTACAGATAGTAGAGTACAGGTACAGATAGTAGAGTACAGGTACAGATAGTTGAGTATAGGTACAGATAACATAGTAGGGTACAGGTACAGATAGTAGAGTACAGGTACTAATAATTCAGTAGGGTACAGGTACAGATAGTTATATAGATTACAGGCACAGATAGTAATGCAATTCAGTAGGGTACAGGTACAGATAGTAGAGTACAGGTACAGATAGTAGAGTACAAGTACAGATAGTAGAGTACAGGTACAGATAATATAGTAGGGTACAGGTACAGATAGTAGAGTACAGGTACTGATAATATAGTAGGGTACAGGTACAGATAGTTCAATAGATTACAAGTACAGATAGTTCAGAATGGTACAGGTACATTTAATTCAAAAGAGTAGAGGTACAGATAATTGAACTTTTCAAAGAAAAAAATAACGATTTTGCAAAAAGGAAAAAGTTTTCCTGAAATTTTTGAAGTATTACTTTGTAATCTATCCTATGGTGGGAACTATGCTCTGATATAAGATCTACCTTGTAAACAGGATCTATCCTATGGTGGAAACTATGCTCTGATATAAGATCTACCTTGTAAACAGGATCCATCCTATGGTGGGAACTATGCTCTGATATAAGATCTACCTTGTAAACAGGATCTATCCTATGGTGGGAACTTTGCTCTGATATAAGATCTACCTTGTAAACAGGATCTATCCTATGCTCGGAACTTATAAGATCTACCTTGTAAACAGGATCTATCCTATGCTCGGAACTATGCTCTGATATAAGATCTATTCTAGAGAAAAAAATACGACACAGCTGGCAAGAATACCTAAACAAGAAAAGGAATCTATAAAGGGACCACGTTTAAAAAAGTAATGCAATATCATACACTTGCTGGAAACGTCGTTGCCCAGGTATATATATTTTTTTTTTTTATGTAGATAAATATATTTTTTAAATGTTTTTAAGTTGGTTTCATCAAACTTCATAGTTTTCGTTAAAAACTTCTGAAAAATACTTTAAATGTCTGTAGTTCAAGGTTTCCTCATAAGATGTTCTTTTAAACATGATGTAAATAAAAACAGAGAATTTCTTGTAATTCAAAAACAATTTTTTGTTTCAACTTTAATCGCTGAAATTCGTAGAAAGAAAGCGGACAGTGGCTAGCAAACGATTTAGACCCAAATGCTGCAACTAGAAAATGTTGTAAAAGATCATTTTAGAACTTTATTAAAATCAGTTAGTTTAGAGTATCACCTATCTAGAGATTTACTGACCTGAAGGTAATGAACAAGTTCTTGCTTGGGTTCTCCATGAAGAGCTTGGCATTGTCTGCATGTTGCCCAGTGGTCGCATGATTCTTGAGTTTGGAGTGGATATCCTTACCTCCGGTTCCAACAACCAGCACATCACAGCTTAAACACCGGATACTACAATATTGGTAAAAATTAAAGGGAGTGTACACAATTTTACCTTCAACTTTTGGTAGGTCTGATGCAAGTGCGGGGGAGATATACTACTTTTCTAGTTGACAATTATAATTTTAAATGCTGTGTTTACAGAATGATGATATAATCCAAAATTTGCTTTTTTAAGTTCAAATCCTATTAGGATTCCCAAGGTAAGGTAAGGCCAGCAGAGAAATTTGTACTCAAAATAAACTAAATTCCGAAATATGCAATGAACTCATTTTCGGTGACTGTACATTGTACAATTGTATACTGGTTGTTTAATGTTTATGAACAAACGCAACCGAAACTGGACTTGAACCAAAGCATGAAATTGAACCCAGTATTTAAACCTTAGTAGCAGTCCAGAGTTATAAAGGTACACATATTAGTGTCCGGCTATTTAAGGTAGTTAAACTGAGTATGCAGTGTTGTGGAAAACTTCTTTCGGATTCATTTGAGACATATTAAACTACTTTGAAGATCTGTAAATCCTGAGTTTGAGCGCTAATTCGACGTTCAAAACTCCTATTTTGGGGGTGGATACGTTTTCAGAATTAGTTTTCTTAAATTATTAAATAATGACGACATAGAATGTAAAAAAGTTCTACAATAAACTACAGACGTCATGTATAGGAACATGTTGAGAAAATAAAAATTAATCTTATCATCGAAAATAAGTAATCTTGTTCAATTATTAGTTTATATTTTCTCATTATTCTGGTTTCTCATTATTCACAAAGATTTTCTGCAGATTTTCTAAAATTATTATTGAAAAGACGACATTTGAAAAATTTGAAGAAATCTACGAATAAATTCAAAGAAAATAAGAAATTCAATATAATAATGAACACGAAATAATCGATTTTAGCAATGATATATTGACAAATTTCTTTTGAGAAATATGTTCCTAACCATCTAATTAGATTACTGTATAATTTTTACTTTATTTTTCGTTGTCGATATTTAATAATTAAAAAAGCTAGTTCTGAAAACGTATCCACTTGAATTTTCATATTCCTTAAAAATGGATTTGCCCAAAATTCCCTTGGTGGCATAAGTGGTAAAATTGTCAAAAAACCAAGAAGAATAAGATTTAAGTTTTAAAACGAAATTTAAGTATTATTTTAGACCTGTAAATGCACTTGAATTTTCATATTCCTTAAAAATAGATTTGCCCAAAATTGCCTTGGTGGCATTTTCTGAAAATTGAGATTGTAACTCAGTAGACTGCATATACATATATTCTAAAGGAAAATTTTAGGTGTTTTGACTTGAATCCTGATGGTCCATTTTCAGCAGCGTGGTGGGTTAATAGTGAGCCCCAAATTTTCTTTTGACTCATCATAGAAATTTGTTTGTGGGATTAAGAAGTCTATATTATTGGGTATTGCTTCCCTTACGCAATTGCCCTTCCCCCTTGTACTCGCCCTTGTTGGTCTACCTGGTTTCCTTGTTAGCGTGATGATTTAAGACGTGGTAGAATTGTTGTGAAAATGCCATCGTGCAATCACACTCAGAACAGTAAAAAACCGGTTCAGCACTGATACCATGTGTCTCAAGATGATCCTAAAACATCAAAAATAAGTTTTATCAATCTCATTCGACCACAATTCCATATTTTGAATCAACCTTTGAATTCAATTTGAAAATAATTATTACTCCGGTTACTCCAGAATGGTCACCAAATATATTTGATGAATCTGCGTTTTTTAAACGTAAAAATGAATTAACATTTAAAATGATTGAATTTTCTCTCTCACTATTTATGCACATATAAAAACATTTTTAAAAAACATATTGGATTTCAACTTCAAAAACTATAAGATTTCCTTGGCAGAGCAAAGATTGATATTCGAAAAACGCCCAAAACCCTTAAACGTGCTTCAGTTTCCAAATAGTTTCAGCAGATAAATTTTGATTTAAATCCTAAAATCAATTTCCAAATAGTTTTAGCAGATTAATTTTGATTAAAATCCTAAAATAAGTTTCCAAATAGTTTTAGCAGATTAATTTTGATTAAAATCCTAAAAATTACTGACTTACCTCAAAGTTTGAAGGTTGTAGGATCCTTTTCATGCAGACGGGACAATGTAGGTTGAGACGAACGTTTGCGCCTGGACCATCTACTAGCACCTTCTCAATGTGCACCTGAAGTTGAGGAATATTTTTTTTCTTCAAGTTGCTACCATGGAATAGAGTTTGTGTTTTTTTAAACAATACTTTCAAAAACGTAAAATATAAGATGACATTCTTGTCCCGCGCGACTGGCCACTTTTATAGCATTTGCAATATTTTAATCAAATTCTTTCTTTTTAATGTCAATTACGTCCAAAAGCATCATTTGAAAAGAAAATTTTTAAGTGACCCTTCATTCAAAGGTAGCCTTGAAACCTTAATCTGACAACAATTTTGAAGATAATGGTGCTTTTCTGAATAGAAAGGTGTTTACCTCTGATATCTTTGTTGTCTTTAATAAAGCAAAAATTGTCATTTTTGAGGAGAAATCACAAATGATATTAAACAGTTTAAATAAACAAAATTATGAATGTAAAATTCATATTTAATCAGACTAAGATTTTAAGGGTTACACTTACAGTCCCTTTGACCATAAATTTTTCTTACCTGTGATACACTGTCGTTGAAATCTATAGCCGAATCATCATCCCCCATCTCATCATCTGATTGACTCAGATCTGATCGGTTTCCATTGCCCGGGATGTATTTATCTATTTCTGGTTGAGAGATGTAACTATGTTCCAGGACAAGATGCTGGATAAGATGATATCTACGCTCAAAATTTTCTTTACAGTGAGTGCATTTGTAAACATTTAACCGCTTAGGGATATTCTTAAACCTGGCTTTGAAGTGGGCAGATGTAATGTGATCTTCAAGCTTGTTTTGATCTTCAAAACTTTGACCACAACGGCATCGGATGACATCAATGTCAAGAAGCAAGGCCCGTGATTCAGTAATATATTCATAAATACGGTCTTCTTCAACAACCTGAAGTAAAATTGCATCTAAGGAAATCGAAAATATAAAATCGACTAAAACTAAGGGGTATATATTTTCAAGAATTACTGGACATCATCTAGCAAGTTCAACCAAATAATAATTTTAATCCCAAAAATTTATTTATTTATCCTTAAAATTGTTTCTTCTCCCCATCAGGGAAATAAATGATTTTATCAAGAAAAAAACAAACCTCTTTAAAATCTTTAAATTTTTTTTATCTAAAACTAAGGCTAACCTGGTGTATCATTGCAAGGTGAAGAATGTGACTTCTTCTATCAGTTGTAGAATGGTTGTGACATTGAGTACACATGTAGATTTTTGCCGTATCAGGTACAAGATCCTATAATAATGATACAAATAACCAGTCAACCATCACTCCGAAGTAATAAATTCAAAGTCCACATCAAAATTAAAAATCAAGTCACCCAGATTTAATACTGAAAAACAGGCAGGTGACAAAATCAACAGTGACCAACCTTAAAGGGAAGTCAAAATAAATTCTGCAACAATTGAATATTCTCATGACAAAGTAATTGAGTTTTTGCCACAATTTATAATCCCTTTATCTTTGTAACCCAATGTTGTGGATTATTAACCTTGTAATAGTCCTGTAGATGCTCAAGAATAACATGCTTTCGTATTAGGTCTTCTTCAGAGAAAGGGGATCTACAAACTTTACAGGTCCAGTTAGTGACGGAACTATCTGTATCAAAGATATCTACAGGCACAGGGTCTACGGTCATTTCTTGCTTTATCTCCTATAATTTATATATTAAAAATATTGATGTTAAAATGAAATTATTATATCATTGTCTAAGCTCTGATTCATATGGTCAAAAACCATAGGAAACCTACCATTTTTAAATCAAACATTTGATTTAATAAACTTTTGTAAAAATGAAGGTTTTTACAAAAGTTCTTTAATCGATATGAATTTTCTTTTCACAGAATTAATCTGAAATCAGGATTAGAATAAAATGGAACAGATTTTAAGGAAAAAAAGAGAACATATATTTGTAACTTTTTTTTGAATAATTATGAAAAAAAATGTTCTGATGCTGATTCTATTGAAATTAGATGGCCTACCTTCTGAACTACTTGAGATCCTTCTTCCTCAACAAAATTAAATGTGTCTTTAGATCTTTCAAACCATTGGATCATTCCCTCTAGATGATCTTTCTCAGCCCTAAACTCTGGATGATGAAACATGTTGTGGGTTACAAATCCCTCCCAGCTTTCATATGAGGTATTGTGTTCAGTACAACTGTTAACACTTTTTCTTTGCACACCAACAAACAAATGGTTCATATGATTTATTAATACATGGTACACTATCTCTGAACGGTTTCTATAGAACCCAGAGCAGGACTTGCAGACAAACCCTGCATATTCCCTTACAGTAGAGTTTTTCTCGCCTGTAGCAGTTTCTGGGTCTTTAGAACATGCATCAGGTTCAAGATGCCTAGGTATAATTTTACCAGAAAACTCTTTATTGGATGCATGTAAAGATTCATCAACATCAGTATTTGTGTCTGGACTTTCTTCAAGTAGCTGTTCAGGAAAACGTTGAACATTTTTGGCACTTTCAATTTCAATTTGAGACTGAATAACTATTTTAGGGTAAAAATCTGATGAAGTAAAGTCAGTAACAGTGGAGGCATTGCATGTTTCTGTTTCCTCTCCTTCATCTTGACCTAATAAGCCAAATGAACGGATTTTATTCCTACTTCTGCCAACAGAACTTGAGACCATGCTTTCCCCCCTTATAGAACATGAAGGAACAGCGGAGGAGGGCCTAGTATAACTGCCATCAACAATTCTAGGATCATAAAGTAATGTTTCTCTAATTTCTATTAGCACCTGTGATGTTGCTCGAACACTTGGATCAATATTGTCAGAATTATTTTCTATGTAAGTCTCAAGCTTGTCCAACAGCTCATGATGCCTGTCTGCCAAGTGGAGACAATATTTGAGCTTTGTCGCTGTCTGGAAGGAACACAGATCTGCTTTACAAACTAACTTTTTGGCATTTGGGATTTCAAACAGGCTTTCAATCTCTTGATGCTGAAGTAAATGGTTAAAATATTGATATCTGTTCTTTTGAAGATCCCCTTTCACAACATCAAGTTCTTTCTGACATAGTTCACAGCAAAGCCTTGTACTGGCTATTTCCTCAGATACAATTGTGGATGGAAGGGCAACAAGAGGGCTTGATGTCCTTGATACATCAGAATTTTCTTTTTCTGACTGAATTGGTGATTTTTCTTGGTTTAGATGGTGCAACCTGATCTCAGTTTTATCAGGTCGTTTAGGGCTGTCCAACAGATCATCAATATCAGGGCGTTTAGGGCTGTCCAACAGATCATCAATATCAGGGCGTTTAGGGCTGTCCAACAGATCATCAATATCAATATCAGAATTTGTCAACAATGTTTCAGAGGATGCACATTTCTTTTCAGTTTCAGTATATTTTTCCGCAATATTGAGCTCATCCCCCAAGTTACCAAGATCAGTACCTGAGATAAGAATTTTGTTTTAAATTTTGTGCTAACTAGCAATAGAACATCTGATTTTTATTTGAACTTACATTACTAACAAGTAGGGGAAAAATTATTTATTAATAGACTTGAACTTATCTAGAAAAGAAATATCTTGCAAAACTAAATGGCAATGGGTTTGAACAGAGATACACATGGTTTACTACCTTCAACCCATCTAGACTTCAGCTTCAGATCTTTTCCTAGAGGTAAAATTCTGAGATCATTTGAGAAGAATAACTTTATTCTTTCCATCTCATCTTTATCCACAAGTTCTAACACACTTTCCATGCTCTCACATTCCTAGTAATCACAAGAGTGAGTAAATCTTCAAAATATGTATAAGGCGAATTATTTAATATGTATGAAGGAGGTTAACCTGTATTATTCTGTTGATTCTCTTGAACCACTCAGAATGTTTAAAGGAAAGATGTTGAATGAAAGAACCACGGTTTCTGCAGAGATAACTAAGAAAATAAAAATATGTTTCATAATTCTTTAGGTAACAATTTCAAACTCCTTAAAAACCTCATTCAAGATCATTTCTTATCTCAAAATTTGAATTAAAGAGTAAGAATTGTTAAAACAAGCTAACGTTATTAATTCTGAGACCGAATTTAAAGAATTTGAGCCACATTTGGTTGGTTCCACTTAGAATTCAATTTTCAAGATTTAAGCCAGCGCTCAATTGAAACCAGTCTTTTAGGGGATTTGAGACGCGTCTTAAATTCATTAAATTCGGACACTGGTCAGTGAACCAGCTAAACTTTATCATTGATCCATGACCAATGATTATTTTTACTTTTTCAAAACTGGGATTGTTCCTGGCCCTAGGCAATCCCATTCATCAGATATATATATATTTATCAATCCCACCTACAAATTCTATATATATACCTGCAATCACTGTAGTTACAACTGTAATCTTTGCTAAATGGTAAACTTGAGAACAAAGTCTCTGTGAAGTGGGAGAGTAAATGGTTCTGATATTTTCGCCTAAGTTTAAGAAAGAAGTTATATCATCTCATATTTAAATCCATTTAATTTTGATGCGGATCTGGATCCTGGATCCGCACTGGAAAAAATGGATCTGGAGCCGGATCCAGGTCATTTCTTCAAGATTTACTGAATTTTTTGAACAAAAAATAATTTTCAAATTTTTTGTTTTTATTTTTTTCCGCTTATTTTTATTTTAAAACTTTACTAACCATTCAGAAATGAGGAAATTTTTATAATATCTTTTTTTCAAAAGTTCAGAGCTGGGTTTTAGGAGAAATAAAGTTGTTCTTGCAGTTTTTAGTTGATATTTTACCCCTTGGATCCGGATCCGTGGATCCGCATATTTTTGCGGATCCTAATCCGGATTCAGGAAGCCAAAATCTTGCGGATCCAAATCCTAAGCACTTTTTAAAAGAATAACTTTAAAAGGGTTTTAATGTCAATTTAAAAATCTTAAAAAAATGTCAATGAATTACTAATTACTTAATGATAGTGATTCTTTCCTGTTTTCACTTTGTTTTTCTTTAAAGCATTTAATTTCTTCTTTGCAGACAATGCAGAGTATGTTCTTCCAGATAATTTTGTCAGGATCAGTCATAACGTCATCATGTACTTCAGTTATTCGCTTCTTGCAAGGTTTTCTAAGAACCTTCCGCTTCACTGTCAGAGGCTCTTTTTGGTTGAACACTTCAAGTTCAGTTTTCTCATCTGCCACAGCCTTAGGATCATCTTTCTTCCGCTCAATATCAACCTTTGCTGTTTGGGTTTCCGGCTGATGAGTATCTTTATCCTTTTCACTCTCCGGTTCTTCAGTCTTATCATCAAGAAGTGCCAGGGGAGATTTATTAGCCTTCAGTCTTTTCTTCCTTGAATGTAATCTTTCATGCAAACTCTTCTCATCATCGGTTCCCTCTTCCAAATTGGGTTCAGTCCCTTTGTGACAATTCTTTAATGAGGATTTGATTTCATCTTTGGGTTCTGTATTCAGGCTTTGTGAAGTGTCATTTCCATCATCTATCCCAGGATCAGTATCTTCTGACTAATCAGCATAAATGCATTTAGATTGATCAATTATAACTATCTGGGTCAACCTGATGACTTCAGAATCTCCCCCCTTCAGAATCTTCACCATTGAAGAATTTAAACAAGATTTAATCTTCAGCAAATATTTTTGGTTAATTACTGGACCGATTTTTGAGGAATCACATTTAGCCAATTTTAAGCTAATAAAACATATCATTTAAGATATTAAAAGTAGCTTATAAATATTTATGTTTTTGATGCATTCATTTTCCTCAGATTTAATAGAAGAGATAGGCTGCATAACAACCATCTGAGTCCTACTAAAAAAATCAAATGTATTCTATAAAAAAAATATTTTTTTCCAGCTGAAGTGAAATAGTTTTTTCTAGAGTAAATACAAAATGTTAAGCTAAAAAGTAACAACCCCCCTCCCTTCATAAAATGATCGTCATATTCTTATATTGGTAATAGTCAGCGCTAGTCTCTGAAGTCATTAAGGAAGGAAAAAACAAGAAGCAAATTCAGATTAAGAAGGCTAAAGCTTACCTGCTCCATGAGGATATTTGGTACCTGTAAAAGATATTTAATTCAAAATTTATAAATTGACAAATGCAGAGGTACATATTAGAAGCGTTAAGGTAAAATGAACAAACACACATTTCCCGTTATTTTTGAAAACCTTAGTTATATATGCAAAAAATGTTTGATATTTCCAGAAAACAAAAAAAAAACATACAATTAACGATTCAATTCACAAATATTGTTGTAAAATATTTTTTAGATGGATCCGGATGCATTTTTTACATGACATCAAAATCCAATAGATCCAAAGCAATACTTTTTTCTCCAGTGTTAGCAAATAAGTTACAATAATTATTCTAGCATAGTTTTTCTTTCTTTCAATATTTCATTTCAAGTCCTTGTCCATGTTCTTTTAAGTGACGGATTCACAATGGTACCCTTGACACCTCGATGTAAGAATGTAACTTTTCTGCATTAAAATGTAGGTAAATTAGTAAATTTCCTTCCTTTATTCTTTTGCATATAAATCCACGATCCACAAGCTACATATATCGCAATTGAAAGTTATCGAATTTCAGGTAGAAAAACAAAAATATCTGAATCAGTTTTGCTGAGAGGAAGGTTTAAAATTGAGGTTATATAAAATTACGTAAATACAATCTTGACCGAGTTATAATAATTTATTTAAAAACTAACCTGGAAATATTGACTCCCTGGTCACCATATAGAGAAGAAAGACTAAAACTAGAAATCTTTAAACAATTCATCAAAGATCTTAGGATTCCAACTTCATCAGCTCCACTAATCAAAATAATTTCTTTTAGAATTTTTAAATTAAATTTGGTTTAAAATTAAATCTTAAAGTGTTCAGAAATTATAACTATTGTCCTGTGCTGTGAATCACGGGATCGATACAGACTTAAGGATAAATTTAGTTTCTCTTCGATATCCCGTTGTGGTTATACCCTGCAGGGATAACTAAAATGGAGGGATAGAGAATTGATCCTCAAATTTAAGAGTGCCCACATTGGATATTAAGATCCAGCGTTTAAGATTAAAGATACTCAATAAAAGAGTTCCGATAAAGAATTGATCCTCAAATTTAAGAGTGTCCACATTGGATATTAAGATCCAGGAATCAAGATTAAAAATACTCAATACAAAAGTTCCGATCTCATGATAATACTTTTTGAATCATTTCTTAAAAAGATTATTTGAATATTCAAACCTGAAAATAATTGAATCTCCTGTGAAAAGAGAAATAAGTTGGTTTACTTCGTGTTTACAAAAATCTGGTAGATAGATAGATAAACTATCATTCCCTTTCCTCCTGAAATATGGATTTTGTGATTATTAATATCATGAACATTCTTTAATATTTCCTGAATTTTTTTAACAAACAAAATTGTCAAAATATTATCTTCTTTTATTCGCTTATTTTTATGTTATAACTTGATAACCATTCAGAGATCAGGAAAGTTTTATAATCTCTCTTTTTCCAATATTTCAGATTTGGGTTTTAAGAAGAGTAAAAAAGTTTTTTTTCTTCAGTTTTTGGTTGATATTTTGCCCCTTGGATCCGAAACCGTGAATCAACATATTTTTGCAGATCCGGATCTAGAAAGCCAAAATCTTGCGGATCCAACGGATCCGGATCCTAAGCACTGGTTTCTTCACCACCCTTGAATAAAAAGTATCTTAATTGTCAAAAAACTGATTGAAAAGGTTTAATTTTACGAGAAAATATCTTCTTAGGATGATCTCCAGCTGTATCAGAACATACTTAACCCATGGTTCCCCAGCCGTACCAGAAAAAGACTTGGCCCTAGAACCTCTAGAAGTACCAGAAAATACTTGGCCCCTAGATTCCTAACAGTACCAGAATATACTTAGCACTTGAATCTCTAGCAGTACCAGAACAAAATCTTAATTAGTTTCCTAACAGTACCAGAAAATACTCAACCCCTGGATCCCGAACAGTACTAGACAATTTCCGGTTTTCCTACTAGTACAAAGAAGATATTTAACTTAACCCCTAGATCCCTAACAGTACCAGACAATACTTAACCACTGAATCCCTAACAGTACCAGACAATACTTAACCCCTGGATCCCTAACAGTACCAGACAATACTTAACCACTGAATCCCTAACAGTACCAGACAATACTTAACCCCTGGATCCCTAACAGTACCAGACAATACTTAACC